AGCTCTCCAACTTCACCACCACACTGTCCTTGAATGTCAACATTAAATGGGTCATATTTTATTCTTTGCCTTTGAAAAAATCTGTTAATGAAACCTAACACTGTTAATGTTGTTGCTTTGCTATTATTGATGTTCTTTTGTCCACAGTTTCTGAATGAAGAATCCATGTCGTGATCATTGGCTGCCTTTCTTTAATATGCTGGATCATCACCACAAAGAGATGCACACAGAAGGCCTTTTTATGAAAATTGTAAACCTCTTCTCTGCATTGACAATATTATATGATACTTTATTGAAATACTTTAGTACCTCTGCCTTGTGTTTTTCTTCATGAGATTAGTACTATGTATTATTGACTAGAACATAGTCTGGAATCCCTGCACAGTCATTGAAATTCCCCATCCACCATCTTTTTCGTGTTTTTAATTGCACAGGAAACATATTAAGAGGGAAATAAAAAATACAGAAATTTTTAAAAGTGAAACCAAATTAATGAAAAAATAAGCCAGTTGATAATAATCTGAAAATCCATAAATGATAAACAATGTATGCATAAAGTTCTAGACAAAATGAAAAACATCTCAATATGTATGCAGGCAAAGATGGTGTCTGTATGCTGTAACATACAGTATGTGGCCCTCCAGTTGTTACTGCACTGCATCTCCCAACATTCCTCACCATTGACTATGCTAGCTAGGGCTGCTGGGAGTTCAGTAACATCTAGAGCAGGGGTAGGCAACCTTTCCCCTTTAAGGGCCGAGGGACTTCAGCTCCCAGAAGCCTCAGCCATGTTGGCCAATAGTCCCATGTTGGCCAATAGCTCCTGGGATTCTGGGAGCTGAAGTCCCTCGGCCCTTAAAGGGGAAAGGTTACCTACCCCTGATCTAGACGATTGCATAGTTCCTACCCACATATGTCCAAATGTTGAAAGGATCATCATGAGGTCTCTATCCATTGAATAATACAGTGTGGCCACATTAGCTGTGAGATTTAGGAACTGTAGTCCCAAAAAGTAACTTTCCCATGTTCTAGGTTAGAGCATCTAATTTGATTTGGAAATATGCAAAAGTGCAACCGAACACATAACTGTAATTCAAGCAGGAACATTGTACAAAACTAACTGAAATAGGGGTATGGAAACTGGATAGCAGAGGCTTGGGGGTGTAGAGTGGGTGATATTTACCAGTCCTGAAGAGGAATCCACAGAAAGTGGCCCAGATGGTGTCTGAGGTCAGTACAGGAAGAGGAAACTCTGGACGGTTGGACAGAGATCTGGTAGGAGGCAGCTGTATGCATTGACTAACCATGTTTGGTGCCCTCAAGGGGTACTTAGGGCCTTTGCAGACTGCCAGAAATAGTGCAAATTGAATCCACTTTAAGGGTTAGGGTTAGTGCTAGGGAATCATGGGAATTGGTTTTTTTTCTGAGACATTGAGCCTTCTCTGTCAGAGAGCTCTGGTGCCACAATAAAATACAGTTCCCATGATTCCCTAACCCTAACCCTTAAAGTGGACTCAATTTGCACTATTTCTGGCAATCTGCAAAGGCCCTTAATGTTTCCCCATCAAATACAAAAGTTTGAATGCTTTCCCATGGAATTGATGAAAAGGCAATTTCAGTAGAAAGGTTTAACTCTGGAGTAAAAAACTGTTGACGGGATGTAGGACAACTCCAAGATAGATGGATAGGGAAGTTGGTTGGGAATACAGCAGGGGGTAGGTAAGAGATTTTGGGCCATCTACATGTAGCTGTGTTATGCAAACTGGTGTGGATTTTCACATCTTCTCATTGACGTTCAATTGCCTAAACTCTTCTGAGTGCATTCCTACCTATTCACATGTATGCCTATTCTGCTAGTCACATACAGCTGTCACTCAAAGAAGAGGACATGCACACACATGTGTGTGTTGTCATCTGTTCCTGCTGCTGTTGTATGATCTCAGCTTTAAATAAGTTTTTGATCATAAAAGTAGTTTTCCTCTTTTCTCCCAGAACAATAAAATGTTATGCATTTACTGATGGTCTTCTCCCACTCCCTCCCCCCCC